GAGAGAGAGAGAGATCGATACGTAATTAATTTACGATTGATTTTAATGTTTTAGATCACCACAAACACGTACGGCTGTCGGTGGTAATTCCTCTCCGGTAGTCGCCCCGCTAGCACTTTCGGTTTCTAATTCCGGTGTCGTACCACTGGTTCCAGCTTCAGATGCTGTGAAGGAAAACGTGGGAACAGCGCCGGCCTTGCCATCGCCCGCGGCCATATTGCCGGATCAACTTTGCATTGAAACTGATGTTAGTTTAACTAGATATAAAACTAGATACAAAATTGTTTCCTCGTGACAACTAATTAAGTTTAAAAAAATAGTAAAGATCAGTTGATAGAAAATAGCTAACTTCTTCGATTATAAATTTTGTCATGTAAAATATTTTATAGAAAAGAATCGATGGAGAAGAAAATATTTTACATCTGCATAAAAATATGATATGCAATTTCCTTCCGGTATACAATATTATTTTATGTCGAATGTTTTTGAGAAAAGAATTATTTTACCATAAATTTTAAAATAATTATTTTTCTAAAAATTATATATGTAATGAGTAAAATTATAAAAGGATGTAATTATGTATGGGATCTGAAACTTTCTACTTCATGTGTTTATTTGTGATAACTTTACCTTATATGTTGCAGAGTACTTCGAATCTTACCGAATTACCGCCTGATGCAAATGCCACGCAGACAACGGCGTGGCTTCGCGCCAGCCGGTTCAACGCGTTCGAGTCGACATTCGCGAGCTTCTCTGCTTCGGATATTCTACGTTTGTCCCGAGAGGATCTTATTCAAATCTGTGGTGTGGCGGATGGCATTCGACTGTTCAATACACTGCATTCCAAGGCACCGACTCCGAAGCTTACTCTCTATTTCTCGATGGAAGGCAACAATTCGCTCTGGAGAGTCGCCTATCTCGATAGTTTAACGAGCACTGCGCTTACAAACAAATTGCTCAATACTCTAAACTTGCCTCATGATCGATTACACTCAATACTATTCCTAGGACCACAAGGTATACACGTGCTAGTTACTGACGAGCTAGTAGCGAACATGAAGGACGAAAGTATGTATATCGTCGAAACTATTAAAGGTAAATGTCTTGCAGTTTTACTTTAATATGTTTATAATTTCGAAAAAAGACAAATTAATAACCTCAATATATTTTTTCTTTCAGATTCAGCTAGCGAGCGTTACAAATTGTTAATAAAATCAAAAATTATTTGAAATGAATTTTTATAAATTTTTTTCATAAATATGTTTATAAAGATATGTATATGTAGTAAGAGGAAAAAAAAAATGAGAAATATGAAAGCTAATTTTATTATATATATATATATATATATATATATATATATATATATATATATTT